CCGATTTTTGAGAAATGGGCGCCCAGGTAGTTGAAGGGAATGAGTAGGGGGGAGGGGGTAGCGGCTTTATGGACCCGCTTGGCCTTTTCTGCCCGTTTGTGCCCTCCCACCTGGACAAGATCAACCCAGTTATTCTTTCATCGTCAGGCTCAACCTTAGGGATTGAAAACGAACAGATAGGGAGGGGTCTATACCCGACGAGACGCTGAAATTCCAGCGGGAGACAGATTTGGTCGCTGAAGGGAGGGATTCGTGCTTGGCTCGAGGAAATTGTTTTTCAATATCTAATTTTTCCTCTTCGACGCCGTGGGGAATTTTTTTGATAAATGACTTCTCGCGGTTTTTTTTTCGCTTGTGCAGCCTCCCCCCCCCCCTCGACGGCAGCATTCTGGGGTAGAACTGAGAAACCCTCTGGAAACGGGGAAAATTGGTAAGAAGTTGGGAAAACGTCTGAAGAGGAAGCATGGGAAAGGGACTCGTGCCAGAGGAGGAATTTTTAGAGGGGGACGGTTGCATTTTGCAAGTTTTCCCCCAGCTGTAGGAAGCGCTCTCGTTACCGCGCGCAAGAATGGAGCGTACATTGCCATTCCTAGGGCTTCCGCTAGAGATGCGGCGTGAAACTGCTCGCGCTAAGGCTTTCGTCGTAGTCAAGTTTGTTCTCCTGATAGTACATGAAGGACTGAATTTGTCGACACTTTTCGCTAAACGGCATATCTTTTCCTGTTGCAATTTCAGCTACTTCTTTGTCTGCGCCCTCACCTACGCCAATCAAGCTGACCGAATACCGTACCAATGACTGGGAGCAGACGGGCAGTGAATGAACGCAACCAGATTGCTGGCGACTATACCACCCCCCCCCTCCCCCGCAATCACCTTGTTCTTCTAGTCCAGAGGAGGAGAGTTGAAATCAGCTGTAAAACATAAGTTCTGTGGTTCCAGGCTCCTATTCCACTCATAGTTGTCCAGCCAGCAGATGTTGAAGAAGAATTTCTGGACGTTGAAGAGATGGATGGAGAATTCGAAGTGAGTTTAGGTTTTCTCGAGTTGTAAACTAAATCCGTTTACTGGTAATCGGCCCAACTTCCCCAGCTTTTTTATAGACGCTATTAGTCTTAAAGTGTTTGAAGCAATGGCTTCGTAGGCTCAGATTTGCTTTTGTCGCGCTCGATTTCTGGAACAATGAACAATGTAGAGAAAGCTTTCGCGTAAGGAGCCTGCAAAGTGAACTCTATTTTTCCTGAAGTCGTCGATTCCTCCGTAGGCCTTCAGAAACTGCCTTTAATAGCGCGAAAATTAGTGGGTCGCCGAGAATTGCCTGTTTCCATCACTTCTGCCATTCTGTCACCATCCAATTTTCTTTTCGCTTTGCCGAGAAGTTTCTCGTCTCCCTGGAAACGCGAACATCACTTAGTTGTTTCCATCTTTTGCAAAGAGCATCGACAAAACTAAATTTTTGCCCCGCCGGTGCAATATCCTGGTCGGACGTTTGTTGCGGTCGTGTTTTTTTTTAGTTTTCAAGGATGTTGTGAGTGGAGGCTACGGAGTGGGCAGTTGTGGCCAGGCTACTTAGGTGCTTCAATGTTATTTGCTTTTTGCCCTCTTGACAGTTCGCGGCGAGTACGAAGGCCGATGGCGCGAAATACAGATGACTTGAAAACCTCTTCCTTGCATGAAAGTCATAGATCATTACTTTTACTGTCCATTTTACTTTGATTGAGAATCACCTTTACCACTTATCTTTATTTGATTTCCAGCCATGCTGCCATTACCTTTGGACAGTGCATTGCTGCTTTGGTCAAATTCACTTTTCGTGTTGACCGAGCTAACATCAGCAAAAAGGCAAGTTAGATGTTGCACTGGGAAAATAAGCTCAAAAAAATGCTCCAAAAATATTTATGCCGACTCTGTGAAATTTTGATGTCTTGTAGTTGCACTCAAATTATGAACGTTTGAGCAAACATCCTGTCACTACCAGGTACGTACCCGTTGCCGACCAGTTTCCATCCCGGTCGCAATCGTCCGCAAATGGATTTCTCCAGCATGACTCCCGTGGAGTATTGCTCTCAAACGTTAAACCTACATAGGCAGGGACAGCGAAACACCAAGGATTAGAGGCGAATCGAGTTCCTCCGGTGGACGATCTTCCAGCAAGGTGCCAGTTGCTAAAAATTTTCCCCAATGCAGAACTTAGTGGCCTCGGTCACCCTCCATTGAAAATCGGTCCTACTTTTGAATGAGCTCTTTGTGGTCGCTTCTGCAGCCTCAAGGACTCGCTCACTGATTCTCTCAAGGTAGAGTCCACGCTAATCGGTTGGGAGGAGCCCGGCCTGTTGGGCCTGTCGTTGTGCCTCCCTCGTTGATATACCCCTTGTTTCATAGCTATAATGAGGAAGAGTGTAGCGTTCAGAAACACACGCGAATCGTCTCCGCTCATGAGCTCAACGTGAACAGGCCTCCAAGCTGCACCCCTCCTGTTCCGACCGCTCATATCACATCTTTATTCGCCATGGCTTCATTAAACTCTGGTCCAACGAATGAGCGAGGAATCATTCGTTGTGGCTCAATCCCATAAATCAACGTTTTTATCCATAAGCGAGTCTGGAACCAATTAGCCGACTCCGGGGAGGGAAGGAAAACTTTCGGCGTCTTGGACGTTTCTAACCGGGATTCGATCCATCGACCGTACGCCTGGTAAGCCGCGTCCCTTGTCTCCATTCTATCAAACCTGCTCTTCTTACTGCTTGATACAAAATGAGTGTGCGTCTTTGTAGGTCGAAGCAACGGTTGAACTTCCTGCACTTCCTAAAGTCGTCGAAAAACCCGAAGAAAAGCCCGAGGCTCATCGTGAGGTAGTGCAGATTTCTTATCATATCAGCTCATAGCCGTGAGGGTTATTCACGTGGTAAAAGCCGTTTACTTCAGATCACCTACACGAAAGATCTGTCCCTGATGACAGAGGAGGAGAAGGCCGAGCAGTTGCGTATCGAACAAGATGAAGCTGCAAAAGCCATTAAGAAGAGGGTGGTGAAAGACGGACATAGCGAGAAGGTACGATTCTTATCGGAGGGTCTAGTAGAGGGCTCCCTACACTTCTTGACGCAGCGCCAGGCTATTTCCATCAATGGCTGCCAGCTCCATAGCGGTAACGACTGGTGGAAATGAGCTGGCGCAGCGCCAAATGTACGTACTCAGAAAAGCCCCACATGACGACGCACTGATAGTGACTATCAGTTCAGTCATCAGGCTTACCTACCGTTTTCACTCCAGTTGACGTTGAGATCCACGGAATCCTTTTTATAGGCA